GAGGAGGGGAATTATGGGGGGGGGGAAAGAGGAACAAATGTAACCTGAACAATAAAGATTTAATTAAAAATAAAAAATAAAATAAAATGAACACCCTGATGCAATTTTTAAATTTATTCCAAGCAAAAGTAGATTAAGTAACACATCAACTCATTTTACAAACGCCCAGGTGCAAGCTTTTCTTCCCATTCTTTCTGCATCTGATATAAATCTCCCTGGCCTGCAGAAGGGCCAGATGCTCAGGGAGAAAGGCTTTTACAAGGTCTGCTCCGCAGCCTGTAGTTTTAGATGTAAAATGAAGATGGAGAGAAGAACGGGTCCTAAAGTTGAAAAACATACTGTAACTTTATACTTGCTTCCAAAGCCATCACTCACGTTTACCCTGGGAATATATGAGCGATCTCACCCGACATTATGAAAGACACTGCAGGAATACTGACGACAACAAGGCTAACTTCATCCCTGCAACATGTCATGTTCCAAAAGCCCAGAAAGAGACATACGCGTTCTTTACAAAGGGCCCTTGTAAATAACATCCCCTGCTGTGCCAAGGGCCTCTCTCTCCTCTGTGCACATTGGCTGATCGCATGGATGTGAGAGAAACTCCAGGCCCTGGATGTGGACGAATGGTCCCCCCAAGGCCGATGCAGTGGGGGAAGACAGCTGGTGACTTAGAGCCCCCGGCTGGGCAGGAGCCTGCTTTAACTTGGGTTTCCAATGGAGATGATGCTCTCAGATAGCACCCTGAGAAAAAGGCTGCAATGTCTCATGTTTTCCCCTGCCTGTCAAAGTGGCCCTGCCAACACGTTCCTGTTATGACATCTGTCTAACGAGTTTACTGAAAAGACGCTGGAAGATCGTTTTGAAATACAGGGGCTGAGTTAGACAGGGATTAAATAGACTTGGGCAAGTTCTTCACACATGTAAAATTTTTTAAATGATCCTCAATTGAATTCAATCCAAGACACATTTATTCAGCACGGATTGCATTCAAGGACTCATCTTCATAAAACTTTTGAATCCTGAATATCAACAAATGAACATCTTTCAATGTGGGATAGTTGATCAAACGATGAATTCATTTATGTCTCAACAAGATAAAATAAGGCTTTTCACAGATCTTCCTGTCACAAATCACAAATCACTCCAGCAATAGATTTTCATCAAAGCAGTCAGCTATGATCACAGGTATGACCACAGGTATAAAGAATCTTCAGATGTCAAACACTAGTTGCACATATGAGAGTTTCCTCTCTACTGGATAACTTCACAATGGATGAAGGGATGACTTGTGACTTTTTACTCTAAGAACCAAATTTTAATCTATGACATTTCTTGCAGTTAATCTATGTGATCTGTGTATAAGGACAGCCATGGATGCATTTGACCAAGAGTTATAGTTAGAATGGTTATGAAAGAGTTGTAAATTCACAGATACTAGTACAACTGGAGTGTTTTCTAATTGAATTGAGAACTTCATGGAAGAAAATTTTTTGAGTACAATATCTAAAAACTTTGGCTCAAATGATATACTAAGCAAATGTTTTATTTGCTATTCATTTTCTTTACTTTTTCCAATCTTCCTCCTCCCTTTAAATTTGAAATCCTTTGGGAACAGCTAACACTTAAATTTTAAATTATTTTTATTGTATAGAAGGGGATTTTAGAAAAATTTAGTTTATAAATATAGTTTACACATTTCTGCTGTCCATTATTTCTCAAATTTGCTTTTCTTTATATTTTCAATTCTCTCCAAAGCTTTAGCAGATAAAATATCTAGAAGCAGACCTAATTGGAAATAAGTGAGCTCATAGTTATATCTGTTATTCCTGTCATACCTCTGTTAGCTGCCAGAATAGTCTATAAATGGCCACAGATAACCAGTTTGGTGGACTTGCCTCACTGCATAGTACATAAATCACCACTGATTTAACTAAGTAATTTTGCCTTTGAATTCAGGACTCAGTACACACGCATATACATACATACACTTAATGTCCTGTGGAATTTACAAGAGCAGTGTTTAATAACACTTGAATGTCACATGATTAGTCTTTAGTGTGTTTTGGTCCTGTCTTCCACATTAGCATTGAGAACCATTTCTGTGTATTTTTTCCACATTTAAAAATATCAAGAGGGAGCAATGTTGTGGGACACAGTACTGACTTAACAGATAAGCATAATCTATTTGTTTTAGCTGAATCAATACGTACTTCAGTTGAAGGATAATAAATATCCCCTTGTTTTCTGAAATCTATCTGTAGCATTACGTATAACTTTGACCTCAGAAGGAAGAATCACTCTCCGGCACATTTACCCAGAAAGCCACACTACCTTCCTTTGAGAGCAGGTAACAGTGTTGCCCAGAGGAATTAAGCAAGATCTTGAAAAGACAAATCCCAAAGAAGGGGGTGAAAATGAAGAGAACCGCGTGCTTGCTGTACTACAGCTGCAGGTTGCGTCTGTCCCACAGGCACAACAAGAGACGAATAAAAACTAAATAGTCAATAGAGTATGAAAATATAAAGAAATCAACAACATAAACTGATGAGCAAAAAATAGATCCAGAGACATAAAAATGTTGAACAGACCATCAAACCTCAGAGGGAAGGCAGGGGATGATGGGGGGCAGGGCAGAAGGGTGGTGTAATAGATCAACCAAAGAACTTGTATGCATATAAGTATAACCAATGGACACAGACAATAGGGGGGTAAAGGCCTGGGATGGGGGCAGGGGCAGGCTGGGAGAGGACAATGAGAGATAAAGAGGACATATGTAATACTTTCAACAATAAGAATTTTTTAAAAAATAAGTACAAATTATTAGGTACAGAATAGTCATTGGGATGTAAAGTACAGCATAGGAAATATAGTCAATAATCCTATCTAATAATAGACAAACAGGGTAATTGACCGTACCTTCACTATGCCTCCCATTGGCTAATCAGCGTGATATGCAAATTAACCGCCAACAAAGATGGCGGTTAATTTGCATACATAGGCTCCAAGCGGTGGAACAAAGACTGAAGGCGAGCCGGAGCAGTGAAGACGGAAGACGGAAGTCTGCTCTGGCCAGAGCGAAGGCCTGGGTCCCGGGTGCCGGAGGAAAACTGGTGCCCGCAGCCAGGAGAAGGGAAGGCCTATTGCACGAATCTCTTCGTGCAACAGGCCTCTAGTATTATAATAACTATGTATGGTGTTAGATGGCACTAGATTTATCGAGATGATCACTTTGTAAGCTATATAAATGTCCAATCATTGGGTTGTACACCTGAAACTATACTGTACCTCAACTCTAATTGAAAAATTAAAAATATTATTCAAAAAAAAGAAGAAAATATAGAGAAATCAAATCACAGAGAGCTTTCTTTTCTTTTGATTTAACCCCAGGAAATCCGTAAAAACTATCACAAAAAAATGCATATCATTTCAGCCAGTGCATTGCTACTGTGGTTGGGGAAGTAGGTGTTTACATAAAAAAGAAAGAAAAAACTTAAACTACTTGGAGTACCTAGAACCTTCAGGGTTTTTATCAAGATGGTGACCGAGCATAGGTGAAATGAGCTAGGAGCATGAATTCAACAAAAGGACAAATCATAGAAACCTGAGCGAAAGGACATCTGTGAGCTGCTTTGAGCTGGTCCAGCCAGTGGTGGTCGAGGGCAGGGACAACTCCAGTTTGGGGGAAAGGATATTTGTTTTCCTCCTGCCTCTCCCCCATGATCCTCTGGGAACCCCCTGCCTGCTCCTTCCCTGTTAAGAACACGAAGTCCACCTGCTCAGGTGAGGAGCTGAGGAGGAGACCTGCGAGATTACCATCGTGCATCCACCCTCTTTCCTCTCAAACCTAAATTTGATAGGTTTCAATGGAGGGAAGTGCCCCTTCCCAGGGCTTTTCTTCCTAAGAGTTTAGGGGATGGAATTCTGACCGGAGAAATCACCTCGTATCTGTCCTCTGAACAATTATTTCTGTAGAATCAGAAATGCCTTAACATTTATCAACCATGTTGTCACTAGACCTTTTTTATTTCAACTGAGTTAACCTGCGTTACCTTTTATAACTCGGCTTCTTGGGGTTATTATTAAGTTCTTCCCTGAAAACTTTCTCATCATCCTTTACATCCTGGTTTCCTGCTACTTTAGGAACTACGTTAGGAACACTTGAGAGCTTCCTTTTTTCACTCAGCAAATATTCCATATTTACTGTTGTAATGAAATAGGCACTTTGCTTTCTAAGAGTGAAGCAAGACCATACAAAATTACACTGACTCTATTTGTCTTGAACAATGGAGAGCCAAGAAAACTGACTGTCAGCTTGGTAACAGGTCAAAAAACTGAACTAAAATGATGAATTGAGAAAAAAAAGATGATGTCGCTTCTGTGATCCCTAGTGAATTAAGCTGTTTCCAGATGATTTTTGAACCTACACCTATTAAAGGAAAATCTCTGCTTGCACTAATAAGTCGCTGCAATTTTTGTTCAGTGGGATTTGTTAATCACAAAGATTGGGGAAAGGCAGCCCAACTCCCTTTACTTCTCCTCAGTATACTTCCTGTGAAATAACAGCTTTGATGGAAATGTTACCTTGACAGTGAAGCGTTTTCTCTTAGGTGGATTCCAAACCATGCCAGTCGAATGAATGAACGCACGCAAAGGGGTTAAGGATGTCACCAACACATATGCTTTAAGAATCACAGATAGATCTTCGGTTCTAAATATGGTCTCATGTGGAGCGAGGACTGTTGTTTGATCCCTAAAAATAAAACAACACAGTTAAAGTCCCACAATGTAGAGTGAGGATGACATTTGTAAATTATCACAACGCTTTGTACACTCATCTCTCCTTTGTTGGACCCCAGCTTCCAGTGTGTGGGTTGACTGTTGTTTGATCCCTAAAAATAAAACAACACAGTTAAAGTCCCACAATGTAGAGTGAGGATGACATTTGTAAATTATCACAACGCGTTGTACACTCATCTCTCCTTTGTTGGACCCCAGCTTTCAGTGTGTGGGTTTCCTCAAACAATTTTACTATTTATTAGCACCACTCCCAGGGGATATATAGGTACAGAGAAAAGGGATCAAATTAATAAGAGTTCTCCACTCAGGCAGAGTTAATAAAATATTTTTTAAAAGTAAGAATGGTATGAAAACAGTACCTAAAATAAGGTTTAAAGATTTAAAAAATTTAAATTAGTCACATATGGAACCATAGTAGCAAAAGTGATACAAATTACAGATTAGGGAACAGTGAACCCCCTGAAATGTCCTGGCTCTGCCTTTACCTGCCTTTACTTTATCTTTTCCTCAATAAGAAAAGATGTTAAATTTCTCAATAGTGGAAAGCTCACCAAAAATATGCCAAAATCCTTTCCCCACTAGTTTGTTTCTACCTAATAACCCTCACCACAAATATTTAGGAGTTAAGGGATGAAATATCAGGAAAATAGTTTAGTCTAAAAGGAAAAATAACACCAGTTTAATATTTTATGATGAATAACTGTACTTTCATCATAAATGGTACTAAAATGTATAACTACTTGCTTTTCTCTACCATGTTTCTATATTCAAAATATCTAAGCAAAAGATGCATATGATTCTTCAATGAATACTATTAACTTTGGAAATACTACCTAATAATTATAAAACTAGACAGGGAAAACTATTTTGTGTTGTAGGTAAGATAATTAAAATCTCTTAATTTATCTACTTTACAAATCATTTTTCTAAAAGTAATATGGCACTCCAAGTTGCTTTCTTAGATCCTGAAAGCCATAAAAAAATAACTAGTACAAAATTTCATCCAGCAATACTCACAGACTATTCATTTGAGCATAAAATGGAAGTTAAAAGTTTATAGTTTCATATTTTCAAGCTTTTAAATTCAACTTACATTAATGTAACTTCCTAAATAAGAGTTCTGTTTACCCAAATGTTTATTCTGTGGCAGGAGAGGTTTGAATTACTCTAGAACAGTGGTTCTCAACCTGTGGGTCGAGACCCCCTTGGTGGTTGAACGACCCTTTCGCAGCGGTCGCCTAAGACCATCCTGCGTATCAGATATTTACATTACGATTCATAACAGTAGCAACATTACAGTTATGAAGTAGCAACGAAAATAATTTTATGGTTGGGTCACAACATGAGGAACTGTATTTAAAGGGCCAGAAGGTTGAGAACCACTGCTCTAGAAGAAAATCAATGATGGCATTCTTTTACTGGCTAGTGTTGCTCAGTGGTTGAGCATTGACCTATGAACCGGGAGGTCACAGTTCAATTCCAGGTCAGGGCACATACCCAGGTCTCCGGCTTGATCCCCAGTAGGGGGGTGTGCAGGAGGCAGCCTATCAATGATTCTCATCATTGATGTTTCTATCTCTCTCTCTCTCCCTCTCTCTTCCCCTCTGAAATCAATAAAATATATTGTTTTTAAATAAGAGATAACCAAAAATTATGTAACAGACCTAATAATTCAAACATACAAAACCCCCTAGATCTGTTCAGGGCTTTTCTCTTGCTAGCGGTCTCCTAAAATGTACATTGGACATAACATCTCGAATGATTAGCTTACAGCTGTTCACGTCTCCAGGCCCATGGTTTCCACATAGGCGGCTTCACGGTTTTTAAAAGGTGACTCCACGAGCTCAGCTTGAATTGTGTGCTCTGGTCCAAACACACAGAGGGGCTCACCGGAAGTTGCAGTTCTAAAAAGATTCAAAAGAGCCAGACAGTCATTCTATTGCTCCCTTTTAGGATGGCTTCCATCATAGAGTCTGTGTTAAACTACCTTTCTTATGTAGAATGTTCTCCTTCCACAGACTAGGTTAGGAAGACAAGTGCAATGACTGATTTCAAATTTTCTTGCGCAGAAGGGGAGGTAGATATGATGTCTCCCACTGTCCTGAACCAAGTAGCCCTACCTGCCACCTGGATGAGAGATGCTGTGTGGGAAGGTACCCGAGGGAGCTGACTTTGTTTGCAATGAGAATATGACATAGACAACTTGAGGTGATTCCCTCACAATACCATCCTTTGTGTGCTAGAGTTTGTCATGCTTCATGACCTGACAACAGTGCTTTATTATTTTGTAAAGTGTTATTTACTGGGTTTTTTGCATTATATAAAAGTAAAGACCAATAGCAGTAACTTACTTCAAAACACTCATATTGGTATTTTTTAAAAAATAGATGTATATAATTCAAAAAAATCAAATTGTACAGAAAGCTATCAAATGGAAAGGAAAAGCATCCAGCAAGCCACCCCCAGCCAGGACCTCTCTCCTTTAAGCCAAAGCCAAAGCTTACATATTCACTTTACCGTCCAGATAAGCAGAAAATCGGTAAGATGCACATGATTCTTTAATATGTAAATTGACATAAATATCAATGTATCGACACAAATCTATGTATGTAGATGCAGATGGTCCCTGACTTACGATTTTTCCCCTTTACTATGGTACAAAGGCAATATGTATTCAGTAGAAACCATACCTCAAATTCTGAATGTTGATGTTTTCCTGGGTTAGAGATATTGGTACATGCAATACTTTCTCATGATGCTGGCCAGTGGCAGCGACCTGCAGCTCCGAGTCAGCCCCACCATCACTATACTCTAAACAACCGATACTCTACAGAGGATTCATTGTTAGATGGTTTTGCCCAGCTATAGGCTAATGTAAATGTTCTGAGCACATGTAAAGTAGGCTAGGCTAGGCTAAGCTATGATGTTCAGTAGATTAGATGTATTAAATGCATATTCAACTTATGATGGGTTTATGGTGAACTAACCCCATCTGAAGTCGAGGCACATCTGTATTTCTGCTTTTTAAGTTATCCAAAAGAGACATTACAATGGTCTGTCTGGCTTATTTACCTACTAATCCATCCTGGAGTCCTTTCCGTATCAGCATACACAGAATCACCTTATACTTCTTATTGACTTAAAGTGTTCCATTAAATGAATATACATTTAATTTAACCATCCCCTTTTTTGTTGTATATTTAGATTATTTTTGTAACATTCCTCCTTTACTATTTCAACAATACTGCAATGACTGCTGTTTACACCTCTGTTTTGGTGTACTTTTACAAGTTTACCTAGGGGCAATTCTAATCTGCATGCATAATCGCCAGGTCAATAGGTAAATGCACTGTAAATGCGATAGACATTTCTAAATTGGCTTCCAAAAAGGTTGCCCCAATTCCCACTGTCTTCAACAGCACATGAGAGTTGTTACCTTACTGCTGGGTCACAGGGCTTTATTTTTAAATTATACCATTTATCTAGCTCTCAAAATGGAACAAAGCCTTTAAATTATTTCCCCCCTGTGCATGTTTCATCAATACTAACATAATCTAATTTAAAACACTTCACACTCTTAAGCAAAAGTCAGCAGAAGTCAAGCTGTTCAATGTATTCTCATATCTCATTACTTAGTACAGTGTGATCTTTCTCAAAGTTGATAGCCTATTTAGAAGGCTGTCCTATTAATGATGTTCTAACACATCTTAATAAAAGAAATACCCAACTTGCTTGTTTCTGGAGGTGACAAATGAAGAGTCATTAAGGTAATTTCTTTCTTAGGAATCAGACTTAAAAAGAGTTGAAGTGTTTATATAATCCTTTAGATTTTTAGAAAGAAAGTGTGTGTGCGTGTATGTGTGTGTGTGTGTGTGTGTGTGTGTGTGTGTGTGTGTGTGGGTGTGTGTGTCACTAGACTTAATTTTTTAGATTAAATTTGCAGGAAGAAGATACATGTTGTTTTTTTTCCCCCACTAAGTAGTCATTGTTTTATGAATTTATTACTAGGAAAAATGTTGTCTCTCCCAAAACACTAATTTATTGGTATAACAAGAGAACAGTGTAATTTACTCTGATTTCCCCTTACATTTGCTGCCAGGAAGCACAGCACTGATTAGAAGCCCAAGCAGAACTGATCTTAAAGACGTATTAAGTCTTTCATTGAGGTAGTAGCTCAATAATTTTGAGGAAATAGTAAGCAAATATGTCAAAACAGTAAACAATTTTATGTCCTTTTTTTTTTTAGTTCAACTAGAGGACCCTATGCCATATAATTAAAGGAATCCTATATAAGAATTGCAAAGAATATTTCAGATTTCCACAGCAGCAACACAGCCATTAAAACTGTGGTTGAACAATGGAACTGAATCTTGATTAAAGTAATTTTTACCCTTTGTGTGATTGCCATTATATTATTCCAGGTTGGGAAGTTACTTTTAATGATTCTAAACAAACAAACAAATAAAAATCTGTAATTACATGTCACCTTACATCTAAAAGCATTCCCATTTTCCTTGATTACAGCCAAAAATTAAAAATACACTTTATTAAGACCTTTAAAGAGCTGCAACTGCACTTTATGGAGCTTTTATAAATAGTTATGGAGCCCTAACCGGTTTGGCTCAGTGGATAGAGCATCGGCCTGCGGACTGAAGGGTCCCAGGTTCGATTCTGGTCAAGGGCATGTACCTGAGTTGCGGGCACATCCCCAGTAGGGGGTGTGCAGGAGGCAGCTGATCAATGTTTCTCTCTCATCGATGTTTCTAACTCTTTATCCCTCTCCCTTCCTCTCTGTAAAAAAAAATCAATAAAATACATTTTAAAAAATAAAATAAAATAAATAAATAGTTATGGAAACTTTAAATACCCTAGGTTCTTATTTCACTGAGACAAGGGTTTGCCAGCAGTCATCATTCCTTGTATCTCTCATTTGGCACATCTACCAAGGGCTCTCTCCAGAGACCAGTCCAATCCACTTGTCTGAATACCCGCTTCTCCCTTGGACCTAGACAAAGAGCCTAGAAATCTATAAACAATGCCAAAGCTAGCTTTGTTTTTGGAAAGAACTGGGGAGTTGAGTTTTTCTTTTTTTTCCTTTTTTATGTTTATGGAATAACAGTGATAATACCAGTTTATTTGAAGATTAATGTTTTCAAAACACCTTGTACCTGAAATTGTACCATATCCTGTATTAAAATATGACATTTCCACTGAAAACACATCTTAGCTTCTGACTAATGGAAGTTCTTTTTTTCTTTATTGATTAAAGTATTACATATGTGTCTTTATCCTCCCAGTACCCCCCCAGACTCCGCTCGTGCCCTCACTCTCCCTAGTGTCTGTGTTCATTGGTTATGCTTATATGCATGCATACAAGTCCTTTGGTTGATCTCTCCCCTTTTCCCCCCACCCTCACCTGCCTTCCCTCAAAGAACAGGGTGCAAGATTTTTGTTCATCAGTTTATGTTCATTATATTCCACAAATGAGTGAGATCATGTGATATTTATCTTTCTCTGACTGGCTTATTTCACTTAGCATAATGCTCTCCAGTTTCATCCATGTTGTTGCAAATGGTAAGAATTCCATGAGTTTCTATGATACAAACAGTCTTCAAATGGCCTTCTAATTCATTAACACATGTTTATTACAATTTTTCAGAAAATAATTAAATATGGAGGGCCTAGCATGTGTCTCTAGAATTTTCCTATCCCATAATATGTGGACTGAATGGATAGCAAATACAGATGTCAAATATTATATAAACTTTTATTTATTGACTACTCTTATTTTAAAGAGCTCTGAAGCCTATAACTTTACCATTTACCCAGAATAAGAATAAACAATAGGTTAGGGACATCTGAAGACTGCTTTTATTGTGCCTTCTTAATGTCTGTCTGGCCAGGCACTGAGGGCCTACTGACTATGGTGAAATTTTATGAAAAGAAAGATTAAACCAGAACCACAGAACCGGGTTTTCAGTTTGATTCTTAACAACCAGTGCTTAATGGGCATGCGACCTTGTCAAGGAGTCTTCTAGACTCCAGCGTGTAATTTGCAATAATTTTCCAAATGCTCCACATCACTAAACACAATGCTTATATATAACAAGTACTCAGCAAGTGCTTATTCTAGCAATGAAATAGTTTTGAGGGGGAAGCCAAAGTGCAGTTAAAACAAAATGGTATTCACATGTATTGAAATATTTATTTGGTTATTTATTTTTCCTTTCTATGTGACATATAATTATGTATGTCACAGACAAAGACTAAACACTGCAAAAGATTAGCTGCCAAATTTATATTGCATTTGATTTACTATTTTGTCCCAAAGCTAATAATTAATAGGTAAGAAATAGTAAAAACATAATTATATTTCACAAATATTTGAATATTGTCTTGAATTTAGTATTAGGAAGCTAAACTTAGCCAGTATTTTCTTATTTTAAAACTTCCAGAGGGAGAGAAGGAGAAAATGGTGGCCAAATAGGCAGACTTGTCATGTACGTCATACTCAATGGGCAAAAACTAAAACCATTTCCCCTAAGAACAGGAACGAGACAGGGATGTCTGCTTTCACCACTCTTATTCAGCATAGTACTGGAAGTGCTAGCCATAGTGATCAGACAAGAAGAAGAAATAAAAGGCATCCAAATTGGAAAGGAGGAAGTAAAACTGTCATTATTCGCAGATGACATGATATTGTACATATGAAACACTAAAGTGTCCATCAAAAAACTACTAGATTTAATAAATGAGTTTGGCAATGCAGCAGGATACAAAATTAACACAGAGAAATCTATGGCATTTTTATACACCAATAATGAACTCTCAGAAAGAGAAACAAATGAAAAAAAAAACAATTCCATTTACCATTGCAACCAAGAAATTGAGATACTTAGGAATA